TCGTCCATTCCTTTTCTAATTATATTCTCAAAAACAATGCCAATTTGTATAAAAGAACTTCGCAGTCCGTTAATTATTATTTATTGTTCATTGTATTCTACAGTGTCCTTTATTCGCATGAAATACTCTTTATTTTTACAAATCACTCTTTATTTTTACAAATAAATTATCGAATAAAAGCTTCGTCTGAAAATTCGTTCTGGCGAAAGGCGATGGGAATGGTTTTGAATTTCTTCAAGACGCGCGATCACGCTGCAAGTTCCGTCTTTAAGATTATCCGAACGGTCTCCTTAACGAGCCACGGTTTATGTCAGCAATTCCCAGAGGGTTCGAGTCCGCGCTATAAACTAATTTTCTTAATTTCGCTTTTTAAGTTGGAGCAATCTCGGGGAACTTCGTCTTAATCCCTGACCGTTGCCAACTAATTTTCTATTGCTGCCAAGCTGCTAAACGGTTCAGCTCCGTCGCAAGCAATTGAAAAAATATATCCCGTCGCTGTATTTTTGTGATCCAAGATTTCTCATTAATTTTTATCGAAAATTAAATTGAATTTTCGTTCGTTTTTATCTAAAAAAGAAACAGAGTTAATTGGCAATAGAAAAAAAAATCAATCATTTTTTTTTTTTTCTTTTATCGAAAATGAATAATTCATTTTCAATCGAGTTGCAAAAATCGTCGATCGTACTATCTTGAACTATTTCAATGATAGCATGAACAATATGTGTGGGATACGTAAGGGAAATGCGTCAGTTAGCAGATCATCAATACGTTAATCAAGAGTGTTTAATGGAACGGGTAATGTAGTGGCGAGTTATAAAATTATGCAGACTGCGGAATGAATCAGTGATACGTGAAAGGAAGACCATTAAGAACAGGGAGGTTCAGATCGTTATGATGAATAAAATTGAGAATAAGGAACGATTATATTTAAATAATGCGTCAGCTGTTTCGAAGCAAATTACGCAAAAGATTTTCTTCGTCGATCGCGTTGTCGAAACATTCGCTCGAGTATAAAAAGAAAAATTATCAGCCACCGCATATGATGATACACATGTTCGACTTCTATTTTACATTTTATCCCCCGCGGTGAGATTTCCCCTGCATTTTTAAATTTCTATAAATTGGCTAAAGAAATGAAATTTAAATAAAAAATTGTTTCTCCTGGATTATCACTCTCCTTTGAATATTTCCTATAATTCTACGTATTACGTGCATCGTTGCTTGTATTTTTTGTACCTTGTTAAAAAAAAAAAAAAAGAATAAATCCGCAGGCTTAAATAAAATTAACAATTCCAGAACGAAAGTCAGTTGCTTCGATCCACTCTCTGGTCCAAATGATCCAATCATGCCTTTAAAAAAAAAAAAAGGATCAAGACATTCAGTCATCAAAAAAAAAAAAAAAAAAGTCACGGGATCCCGGATCTGCGATCGTTCGCCGATTACGTCCAAGTTCAAATCGTCTGCTTTTTCCGTTCCGCGAAGCGTGTGAATGACTGAATGGAATATTCGTTCACCACCGGTTAATCAATATTCGCTGAAAGATTGTCGGAGCGCGGTCATGATCGAGAGTCCGCCTTCCGCGAACACCTCGTTAAGATTGCAACAAATGTATTCGCGTCCGGATAAACCAGACGGATTTATCGGCGGAGACAGATAGCGGAGGAAGCCGCGAAGATATCGAAAGCGGCCAGCAGTTCGATATTTATCCAATTACCCCGTGACGTTCGGCGGAAATCGCGGAATCGGATTTACGTTTGCGGGGGGAGCGCGGTGGCGTGGAATCGCTTAAAATGCAAAGGGCCGCGGATCCTATCAGCAATATGAAAACGTTTTGATCGCGCGAACGCGACCGCGATGCTTCGTATTTATGCAATTACACCGCGATCGGTCAGCGGTTCTCATCGTCGATCTTATTGTCGGAGGGCGACGTTCTGCGATGATGAACGGCGGTAACGTTGCAAAGTGTGTGTCTTGCGATCAAGGCTGCTCGTTTATGTAAAAATGCGAGTCTGGGACAAAAAATGAGGTATTAAAGGTCTTAAACATTCTTGGTGCTTTGATTCATAAAATATAATAAATGTAATATATAATAAAATAAAATAATATAATATAATAATATAATATAGTATAATATAATACAGTATAATACAATATAATACAATATAATTTTATATATATAAGTATAATATAGTATATTATATATAATATATATAATACAGTATAATACAGTATAATACAGTATAATACAATATAATACAATATAATATAATATAATTTTATATATATATATATATAAGTATAATATAGTATAATACAGTATAATACAGTATAATACAGTATAATACAGTATAATACAGTATAATACAGTATAATACAATATAATACAATATAATACAATATAATTTTATATATATATATATATATAAGTATATATAGAATATTATATATAATATAGTATAATATAATTATATATAATTATAATATATGATAATATAATATAAATAATATACATGATATTATGAATAATAATATAACAATGCGACTATAGTAATGGGCTCACGTAGATATTCGTACTCGATCTATACGAATATTCTGTGGTATAAAAAAGGATTTCTATATAGCGATAGAATTCTATATAACGAATTCTATATAACGTTATTAGCGAATAATGTGGATCTTTATGTATTTAAAGATGAAAAGAAATTTTAGATTCGCAGGACTTCTAAAGGGTTCGCAGTTAGTTAATACGAATGCAGGATATTTCATGTAAATGGTAAAATTAAAGTGTCTCTTATGAAAGAGATTCTATTAAGAGAATTGCCTCGCAAAAGGCTAACTTACTTGTGTGCAATCGTAGATGGTGAAAGCTTGAAACATAAGTTTCTCTGCAAAGCCTCTGACTTTCAGAGCAATTCATCCAAACGAATTTGGATGTTGATTTTCGAACAGCCTTGCAATTAAAACAGCACAATTATTAAAAACCCGGTGACATTCTCTTCTGTGACGTCAACCTTCATCTTCTTGTGATCGTTTAGTCTGCTATTATATTTCTCGCGAATATTTCTTGTCGAAAAAATTGTTGTCCAAAGTGGCAGTGTTTTATGTTAAATGTTCCGAAATTGATCAGAAATGTTGATCCATTCCACGGAGGAAACGGCTATTTATAAAATCGAGAGGATTTTACGAAGCAATGAATTTAAATAGATCGCGAAAGGCGAGATGGCTCTTTCGACGGCCATTCGAGATTTGCATTTTTAAAATGTCAAAATAATTAATTGTCCCCGGCGCACAAAAAGCAGGGAAAGCTTTGCGCTCTTGAAAGGCTATTCGCTAAACCAGTGTTTTGGCACTGAGACCGGGGTAATTACCAAAAAGCGGAATTAAGCAGTTAATTAAATATTCAGCAGTCTCCGTTAATAGCTCGAATCTCGTGTATGTGCCATCCACTGAATACATTTTCGTGATTCACAAAACAGAGACGTACACGTCTACATAGGCACAATGTACGGTGACTCTCATTAATACCATAATGTTCGAGATTATTCGACAGACTGCTAATTGCTTTTTAATCTGTTAAAAATTTATATTGTACTTAAAACTGGTGGAAATGTAAATTTACTTAATTCAGATAGACTTCGTGGCCAAAATTTTGTATATTTTTGATCACGTGTGTAGAACTTACTTTTTACGAATACATTATCCGTGTTATGTCGAACATTTGGAAATTTCGTCGAACACGACACTAGTGGTTATAAGTCAAGCTTGAAGCAAATAGAAAAGTATGTATAAAAATAAAAGCAGAATTGGGCAAAGTGATTAATGATTTGATTAATGATTAACGTGAATTTGTGATATTAATTATGATTACTGCATTATCAAATAATAATAATTAATAATGTTTAATAAGCGAGGTAATATTTAATAATTAATAATGACTAAGAAGTGAGATAATCAAAATCATTGTAATCAAATTAATAATAATAATCGTTGATCATAAAAATGATTACACTTTTGATTATAATTATATCAATAGTTTCCTTGTGTCAACAATATACGTGTATTATGTATAACATATATATTCTGTAGAAACTACATATTCGTTATTTGCATTATTTTTCAATGTGCAAAACTCTACAGCTTGTTCCAAGTATTCAAGAAATTTTCCATCGACCATAATTGAAAATCTTATCTGCATAATTTTTTCGTTATTGGCACAGTCACCCCCATGACTAATTTAACAAAAAAGACTTGTTAAGTGATCAAAATTTTGAGATCTTGTACCAAAGATATGTCAGAGGGCAAACTGCTATAAATTCAACAATACCAATAGACACCATTGCACAGAATATTGCGTAGATATTCTCTCTCTAGTCATGATCTACTAATGGGTCTACTAATGGATCTACTGTTCAAACTACAAGATACGATTTCCAAGGTGACATACATTACGATTACACGATAGCCTATACGAATACGTCAGTAATATCTATTTGTATTAAATAGCACAACCTTAAACGATTAATACGTTTATTATAAACATAAATTAATCACTCAACGACTTAAAAATTATCGATCAATCGTTACAAATTACAAGACTCGATGATGATTGCTGACTTATAAATAACTGATTACTACCCAAGTGTCTGAATACGTATTTCGCCAGGGATTTCACCAAGATCCTGTTCAAACATTCAATAATGTCTAAAATAATCTCTCGGGTGCCACGGTACTGAAACACGAATAAGAATTACTGGCGCGTGTATATATCTTCGTTTCGTACCGAGGTGAAACGATTACAAACTAAATTGATTACCGGCGAATTCTGAATACATATTTCGCGGAGATTAACAGAGGTGTTTAAACAGACAATAAAATAATCTCTCTCGAGTCTCGAGGCGGTAGCTGAATTAGGAGCAAGAATTACTGGCGCGTGTATATCTTCATTTACTTATGGTACGCGCGAGCAAGGTATTCACGTGTTTCCACCATTTTATTTGCAGATACACAAAGACGGTTGCGGACTCGAGTCTGATGGCGCAGAGGTACAACCCCGAGTTCACCATAACGACGATGTCGCCGACGACGACTTCCTACGGCAACGCGAACACCAGCGTGCTCATTGACCAATTGAGGCACATTAATCAGGTGAGTCCATGTCCAGCTGTAATTCGTTCCTCGGCTCAGCCTTGGCTGGCCGTGTTTCCGATTGAATTGCCTCTCGTTCACATCCTGTTTTCGACTTCGCTTGCCACCAACCACACAGAGAAAACGCGTCCGCTCATCTCGCGAAATGACCTGTGCGCACAATTTATTCGTGGTGGAATAACATTTATGAATTGATTAGATTAATCGAAATGCTTGGGAATTGTCGTTGCACGGGAAATCATTTCACGTAGCTGAGCAATACTGGACAATTTGTGATTGTGAATCACGGATTTTTCGAGTAAAACTAATGAGCAATACGAAAAGTACAAAATAATGTGCAATGCAAAAGATGTAAAATTAAGGTATTAATATTAATAACATTATATTAATATTTAATATTTATAATAATTATATTATATTAATATTTATAATTAATTATATAATTAATTATATGCTTAATATTAATATTTGTAATATTTTAATAATATTATAATTTATAATATTAATAATATTATATTAATATTCATAATATAATAATAATATATTAATATTTATAATATTATAATATTAATAATATTAATTATATGCTTAATATTGATATTTGTAATATTAATAATATTATAATTTATATTATAATATTAATAATAATAATATTTATAATATTGTAATATTAATAATATTATATTAATATTCATAATATAATAATAATATATTAATATTTATAATATCATAATATTATATTAATATTTATAATATTAATGATATTAATGATTAATATTATAATATTAATGATAACAATAAAATTATAATATTAATTATATTAATAATAATAATATTTATAATATTATAATGTTCATATAATATAATAATATATTAATATTTATAATATTATAATATTAATAATATTAATCATATAAAACAAGAAATATACAGAGTGTACTAATCAGTTCAGTCGCATAAAAATTACTTAAAAATCGTACAAGAAAAGGGAAAAAACTTGGAAATGTGAAACGCAGTGTCCGATGGAAACAATTTCTCAAGAGGTAGTCGGCGTAACCAACGTTCTTAATACTTCTTCGAGATGCCTCTTACACCCGTAACCCCTTCCTCCCCTGGCATGATACAATAGTAGCCTTGCTGTTGTAATTACAGGACGAAACGGGGCATTTCTCTGCACTTTCGCCTCGCGTAATCTCGTTCGCTGTGATTATTAGTTAAATGCGAAAATCGCTTTAAGCGAATGCCGGATAGCAGCGTTTAATCCTCGGCAATCCGAATTCACCTCCCGGGCACAGGCAACGTCAGGCAAGTTGCGGTTCAAACACACTTGCCGAGACGCACGTGAGTGTTGTCTGTTAACATTGCTCGCGGATTACAGGTCGATGCAACATTTTACAACAAGCTCCGGGATTATAGGGAACAGCACGCCTCGGGACCGATTGTTTCCCGGTGTATTTAATAATTTTTCCTTGTTCTTTTACGTCGCGTTGTAATATCGATAGGAAGTGATGTCGCGATGGATGTTTAGAACGAGAGGGAAACGATTCACTGAAAGGAAATGTAGATAGACGTAGAAGACATAGAAATTTCAGCAGTTATCGTTAAGTATTTTTTTTTTTTTTTTTTCAATTTACGACTCGACCTTCGAAGTAGATTTCGATTATTTGTGAAGAAGAATTTACAGAACGTAACGTGTGATCGTTCGTATTAATTTAATCATCAACTATGTAATTACGTAACTGTATTATATTTTTATAGAATTATATTATATATTTTTTTTATATTACGACTGTAATTATAATTGCATCATAATTAATTATGTATATTATACATATATATAACATACGTAATTTTATAATTACAATTATATTGTATAATTTATACAGTTCATATGTTTCTCGAAATAATAAATCAGTCTTCTCAGTCGATCCAAACGATACCTAAAAATTAATAAGTGTAAAGGAAGTGTTTTAATGTCTTATTGTTACAGGTATCATTACATCGTATTATTAATAAAATATTATATTAATACAGACATTAATACGAAATCTTGCGATGGCCGTAATATATTAATAAAAAAAAATTTCCCTATGCTACTTTACCGACGAACTAAGAGAGTGAACCTGAATTTGATCGAATAAAATTGTTCTTCATACTGCGTTGGCCTTCATATTACTTGGTGATGACACACAGTCATCCGTGGTCTCAGAGTCATAATCGTTCGCATAAAAACTAGCACCGCTGGCAAGCCATTGTGCGAAACAAAAGGACAACGAAACTATGTTAGTAAGATATTTATCGTGCGTCTAATAGAGGCAAGACATCTCGTGGCATTTCCGGACAGGAAAGGGTAGCAATTAGTTTCAAAGTTAGATTAGTCCGTGTAGTCGTGCGTGAGACGTACGTATATACACGTAATAAGGATTTCATTAATTACTCATTTCGCGGTGCGGAAACTTGTCTCAATGCGATTTACTAGATGAAACGTCGATCACAGTCAGTTTGTGGCCAATGTCCACAGTTTTCGACGAATCTCGAGTAGATTATTATTATTTTATTTTATTATTATGAAGAGTAGATTATCATTTTATTTTATTATTACAAAGAATAGATTATTATTGTTTTATTTTATTGTTATTACAAAGAATAGATTATTATTATTTTATTTTATTATAAACAGTAGATTATTATTATTTTACTTTATTTTATTATTTTATTTTATTGTTACGAAGAGTAGATTATTATTATTTTATTTTATTATTACAAAGAGTAGATTATTATTTTATTTTATTATTATAAAGAGTACATTATTATTATTTTATTTTATTGTTACAAAGAATAGATTATTATTATTTTATTTTATTATTATAAAGAGTACATTATTATTATTTTATTTTATTATTATAAAAAGTAGAATATTATTTTTATTTATTATTATAAAGAGTAGATTATTATTATTTTATTTTATTATTATTCAAGAAATACTTGTTATTTCAAAGCGACTTCATGATATTAAGATTTCAGTTTATTTTCTTCTGGTTATGTCATCGTGTCGTTTACCAAGTTTAGGGATAAAGAAAAAAAAAACTACAGAAGTTTCTAACAGATCTCATTAATAAGACAATAAAACACTCGTTCCATATTTATCTTCATAAAACTACTTAGCACAATTGTGGTTCAATTGAGTTCAGTAAATTTGGTTCACTCTCACTCTCGGTTAAATGTCTGAGAACGTTTTAGCGTTTTTCTCTTTTTCTAGGTAATTTTACAATTTCTTTTACCCAGAATTTCTTTCATTTATTGGAGAAAGAGATTAAAGTTGATCGTAGATATTTAATTAATTAATTAAATTTCGAGTCTAACAATTATCACATAATTATTTCAATTAAATCAATCAGTACTCTTATACATGCATGAGATACGATAGCGGAGCGATAAATTGAAATGAAATTTTCAATATATGACCAATTATTCTTATTAGCAGTATCTGCTTGTTTTTTTTTTTTTTTTATGATGGATTTATTGAATGCAGATTTAATCCAAGTTCAAAATTTCTATTTCTATTTTTTACAGTTACCATTTTTCTTACTTAGATTATTATTTTTAATTTTTGATATCGAAGTTACAATAATTCCAATAATTTTTTATGTAAAATATTTAATTTTTCATTACGTAATTAATTCAATTTTATTACTTTTAATTGTAATATTGTTAACATCAATTATAGAATGAACATTTACTTCTATATATAAGTATTAATATATTCAATATAATATGTATATATATTACTAATATTACTATTATTATATATATAATGTTATTATTAATAATAATTTACATTACCATTTTATTACTTATATATATATACATATTACTATACATACACATATTACTATTATTATTTATATATATATATATATATATATAAAATGTTATTATTAATAATAATTTACATTACCATTTTATTACTTATATATATATATATATATATATATACATATTACTATACATACACATATTACTATTATTATTTATATATATATATATAAAATGTTGTTATTAATAATAATTTACATTACCATTTTATTACTTATACAGTAATTAAATAAGAATCTCTAACAATTTATTTTTAAATTAAAATGTAACAATTGCCTCACATTCACTTCGTCTCCTCTCGAAAATTAAACACAGCCGAGGAACCACACCAACTCGTTCGTTCGCGCGTGCGCGGACACGGCGGTCGGCGTCGAGACGGTCATAAATTACCTTCTAATCTGGAATTATTTATACGGAGCCGCAAGGTGTGCAGTCGGTGTGCGTCTGGCGTGGACGTTGCGGACAGGTGCGAACGATCTGATGAAAAGGCGCGTGGGTGATAGTCGGCTCTGCGTGTTCCAGTTTTCTTGATTGTCCGCGATGGGCGCACAGGTGCGAACGGCAGGTATCCGACGCGATAAGGAATGGAGAACGCCTGCGTTCGATTCTTTATCGCGAGCTGCGCCGCGGATAGTTTTATTCACTCGCGACTGTCGGACGAACGGATTATTCATTCGAATGATTGATACTCGGAATTTGCATACGAACGAATGTATGATACGCGATAATTGTAACGAATGGGCTGTTTCATTGGAATAATGAGCCGATCGATCGTTCGTTTGATCGACACTCCTTTCTTTCGAATTATCATTCATCTCGATCACGTCCGTGTCGTCTGATCGATATGCAGAAATTAATCGAAATTAACCTCCCCGGTCGATGACGTAAATGCGATCTTTGTCTTGGAAAATTATCCACTAACCGGTGGAGTAACTCTTACAGTTGAAATCGAGCTCGTTTGAATAGTATCGCAGAAAATTTAAAATAATGTAAAATTATTCTGTAGAAATGTTAAAATAATATTAACGAGAAATGGAAACTGAATTACCTTTCTTTGAATTAATATCCTCGAAATAAATTTACTCGATTCTTACTGACACAGCTTACTGACTTAGAAAATCAGTCGTTGAACTTTGAATTCAGATTTTAATTACTATTGAAATCATTTTTTGAAAGGAACTTGTACAGTTGCTTGATAAATGAAATAAACAGAGACGAAGGTTATTTCCTCAGACTAAAAATGCATGCGACAAAGATTTATTTCTCAGAATAAAACGTGCTTTGATTTATAATAAAATTGTAACACTACAACTAGCGACTAAAGTATCAGAGAAAAGCTAGAATGCAAGGAATAAAAGGGAAATTTATGATACAACAAAGAACACAAACTTCTGTTCTTGTATTGATCTTTCAACTGAACTTGTATTGATCTTTCAAATCTCAAAAAAAATGTAACGTTCTGTATCTGCAGAACTGTATCGAAAAAAATTATAGTGCGAGGAATAGGAAGAAATTTATAATACAACAAAGAGCGCAAACTTCTATTTGTATATTTTACAAAAATCATTCAAATGGTTATTTTACAAAAATCATTCAAGGTGGTTATAAATCCGCTGATAAATTACTTGGAAAAAAAAAAAGAAATTATCAAATTATTAAATTGGCCGTTTTTGACCGTTTTGGCAGTTCTAATGTTAAACGACAAATTGTTAATGCGAGAAATGTTAATGAAAATTCGTTTAATACAATTTAATTATATCGTTCAACGAGCTACTTTCCAAACTTTCAACACTCAGGCGCCCGTTAATTCGCACGTCCGGGAATCAAGCTTGCGTGCACGACACCTGCACACCTGCGTATCGCATCTGTGTAATCCAATTTGAAATTGCACACAGCCAGAAGACACGGTAACACGCGACGATACGCGTATGACAATGTGCGAGCTCATGAATGATTTATAAACGAGTTCACGCGACGGCGTCGAGTATGCTCGAGGGCTCGATTCTCCTTTTTATTTCCTCTATCTTTTACTGACACGATGAAATTTGTCCGCTCCGCGATTTACAGAGAACTCGCTTACACGTTAACGATGACTTTTAACGCGTCGGTTTCTTTTTTTTTTTATTGAACTAGGCTGGAATTTTCGATGAGAGTCTGAATCACGATTGATCGTCCGACCGTGGATAATTGTAAGTTTCGATCAATTTCCTCGATCAATTTCTGTCGAGCGGAGAAAGACTCTCGAGCGTGGAGACTCTGCTGCGAGAATACACGGTAATTGGAAAATGATAATTCATGTGAAACTCTTTGTGACGCTGACAGCGTGTCCAAATATATCTGGCTTTAACCACTTACGATTGATTGCGGACCGTAACGAGTGACCAAGCCGTACACAAGAATTCGACGCTTTCTCTTTGAACTCATCGGTATGATATCACTGTAGCTAGAAATGATTAAGAAGTAGTAAATTTATGTTACTTTATTTTACCTGAGTTGTATTTATAAATATACTTAAAACTGAGAGAATATTATAATTTTGGAACAAAAAGTTCTCGACGTGCGTTAAAAGTGTTTGTAAGTGATAATTGTTAAAGGATACATTGCCAGCGATTTTTTTATGAAATGATGATGCCGTGTCATATCGCGCATAATTTCACAAAGATGTACGTACACATTGCGTAACGTGTGACGTGCGCTAACAATAAATTATTACGTGAACAGAGTGTGAAAAACTATCGCGGTTGCACGTGCGCGTCGCTGCGGTTCTCACGAAAGAATTACAAAAATAATCGTACGTGTTATTGATTAAATGTTGCAAAGACCAGAGTAAATAGCTGTACTGCAGAGTGGACAAGCTAAATGGAATCACCTAAATATCTCCGTTATTTTTTAATTGTACGAAAAGATCTTCTGGGGAGGAAACTGCACTGTTTCAAGTGACGAATGTAATGCTGGAAATGATCACTTATTTACGAGATCTCGAGGTCATCGTTACTTTTTTTCTTTTGCGATTAACTTGTATTTATTTTTGAATATTCTTTCGAATGACTCTTGAAAATAAATATAGGTTAATCGCAAAAAAAAACCACGTAAATAAATGATCATTACGTTTGTCTCGTAAAATAGTGCAACTTTTTCCTCAGAAGTATTTTCGTACAACAAAAAATAGTGGGGATATGTAGATGATCTAGCTGGATCATCCTGTATATGTAACACATTTATACAGTTTAACGCAATTAGAATGGAATGACTTACGAAAGACTGAGCGTTGATTCACCAAAGACCAACAAATCATTCTTTCAAATCAATTTACAATCATAGAATTATCATCATTCTTGCGGCATTCTTTTACTTGATGATTCCGAAAAAATAATTTTGGGATTAAATATAAATTTATTATTAAATTAAAAATTTAAATGTAAATTAAAATAATTTAATTTTAAAAAAGTATAATAAATTATACTTGAATTAAATCTATAAATTAAATAAAAATTTAAATTTAAGTATAATAATATATTTTTCAAATATAAATTTAGAATCCCGTATTTTCAACACTAGAACTACCGATAATTAAAACATAAAATTTCCATCAGAGAAAAATAGAGAAACTTTATAATAATACAATGTCTGTAAGCTTCCATTTGTATATTTTGCAAAAAATTATTTAAATCTTTAAAAATACAGTGTTACTACGTCTATAAAATATCCAATAGAAATTATAGATTGGTCATTTTGACCACTTTAGCAGTTCTTAATGTTAATAGAGGAAAATGATTTTAATCAAGGAAATTCCAAGAATGTTTCTTCTTCTTTGTCTTCTTTGTGCATTGCCTCGGTCATAAATTATTTCCCGGCACTTTTCACGGTTTCATGATTGTGCTGTCCAAACTGTCAACGAATTTCTCTCTATTTTATCTTCCGATCCTGACCGTCGCCTGTAAACAGTTACTTTCGTTTCTTCGTAGATCATGCAGTCTCAATTGGCGTCGGCACCGGATAGCGGAACGTTGCTCGCCGACGAGGCTCTGGATGGTTCCGGAAGCGGTGACAGGCCAATATGGAGGAAGAAGGGCAGAGGAGAGGAAATCGACAACGACGACGAGGATGTACATGGCTACGGCCCTGACGACGAGGAAGCGTCTGGATCAGGAATGGGCCCTACCACACCAGGTACGGAATCAATTCCTCTCTACTATCGTTTTTTTTTTTTTTTTTTTTTTTTTTTTAACGTTTATTTCGAATTTTTCGTAAACTCGCCAATTTTTGCCGAGAACAAATGTAACTCGCATTTAAAGCGATTCTTTTAATTTTTTCTCTGACGCGTGTATGTTATACAATAACCAACCACCTGTTGCACGCATAATTGTCAGACTGCGGACTTTTATGCATTTTATCGGGACAAGTTTGAACGTATGAAATACCGCAAAAATATATAAAATATCCAAAGCGCTTTCTATAACATTTGACACGCGAAACAAGATCCTATCTTTTTCCCTTTTTCAATCGTATTCTCGAAAATATGAATTTGCATAAAAATTCGCGGTCCGATAACTGCAACGATGCATGTTTATGTTCTCATTTGATCATCTTGCACTATAGTATCGAAGTCATAATATTTTTTAAAATCTTCTATCTTCGATAGTATCGAAATTATAATATATAAGTCGTAATATTTTTTATATGTCTTATAATATATAAGTCGTAATATTTTTTGTATGTCTTATATTGTATTTTATAATACGTATTAATATTATACGTAGGTCATATTTATCACTTATTTATGACTTATATATATAGGTCATATTTGTCACTTATTTGTGACTTATATATTATTATTATGTATTAATATATAGGTCATATTTGTGACTTATATATTATTTATATTATTTTATAACATGTATTAATATATAGGTCATATTAGTGACTTATATATTAGTATTTTATAACATGTATTAATATATAGGTCATATTTGTGACTTATATATTATTTCATAATATATAAGTCATAATAAGTCATAATATTTTTTAAAATTTCCCATCTTCAATAATATAGTATCGAAGTCGAAATATTTTTTAAAATTTTCCATCTATAGAAATATATCCATTTTTTAAAATTATCTTCGCGGAAATACAAAATTGTACAGCCTATCAATCACTACAGTTACCCCGTAACTGTACGTGATAATTTGCGGATCAATTCTTGAAATTCTCTGCAATTTTTCCGCACAAACGAAAGAGTCAAATACCACGCCGCGTATTTATATCACAAATCTGCATTTGACACGTTACGAATTAATTGTCGTTGCAGACCCGATGCTGAAGACGAACCACGAGAACACAATCGCAGGCGGCACATCGAGGATCCTGCTGTCGTCGGTGACCATAATGGCGATCGCCTGTGCGCCGTTGATCGCCTAAGTCGAGCGAAATCCGGCGTGAGAGTAGGGTACGACAACAATTTCGACGACCCACGACCACCTAGAAAAACAAGACGTAGACAAACGATTTTTGGGTGCCCGCGTCGGCGAACAGGATGATCCTGCTCGACACGAGGGTGATCAATCCGAAATCCTCCTTACGGATCTTACGAATCTGCTTTATAGGTATTTATCAGGTGCCGCCTGAACGAGTGATCGATGTGCGTCGGCCGAATCGTACGAAGAGAGACACTGTGTGTTGTTTCGTATCGAGGGATTCGCGAGTAAGACTTTCCGAGATCGTTCTCGACGTGATCCAGCATTATTCGAGCACTATACGCGCGAGCTGGGTAGTTCTTTTCTTTTTCTTTCTTTTTTCTTTCTTTCTTTCTTTCGCCGAAAGATCGTTCCACGCGTGGAAATAGTAGGATAGCTGTAGAAAGGAGAGTTCCTTGGTCTTCGAGGATCGCAAATTGGGAAACTGTCCGGAAGAGATCGTTACTGAGAGAGATGAAAACTGTTTCGCGGGCAGAATTAAAACGTCGAGGCTGGTATCGGATTGTTCGTGTGCGACGAGAGAATGAGAAGAAGAATAAAAAAAGAAGGCCTCTTGTTTCACGGGTCATTCAGTGAGAATGACATCACGCTTGCGACTTAGCGATAGAAGATTTCTTCGAATGGGGCGAGCATCTTCTTTCTTTTTTTTTCGCGGTGAATTTCCATTCAGACGCGAAAACTTCAAGGAATAATCTTCGCCCGCGTCTGCATCTGCGGAAAGTATGGGGTTTGATAATAACGGATGACTAACTTTACCTTACACCGTGCAAGCGTCACTCGGACAGAACTTTCTGTCAAGCGTTTAAAAAAGATCAACGAAGAACATTCGTCGTGCTTCGTATGCGACAAAACGTGAAAAGGAGGAACACGACACTGATTCTCAGAGTTGTCGGAGAATTACTCACGCTGTTGCGTGCTTCTCTCTCGCCGAAATGAGAAAAAGAAGAAAAGAAACCGAACGAGAGATCAAGCTGCTGCAACCTCGAGCAATAATCGTCACACACTTCACCACGCTGTGAACGCTTTCTCCGATTCTTCGGCGAAGAAACGCAACGTCGTCTCGCGTCGTGCGACTTGGAGACGAGATCAAAGTGTCTTTCCTCTCCCGAAGGCGTCGAAGCAAAGGTTTTCGTCAGCAATAAGCGCTTCTCGTGGCTTTTAGACGAGCCACGTTGACTAGCCCAACCGTTGGTGCCTCGCGACGCCTTTTTTTTTTTTTTTTTTCGTCGCTAGACGTCGATACACGGACTAATCACGGGGGGCTAAAATCCCCTTCTCCCCCCGTATCGCGTGTGCATGCCATATATCGAAGCCAAACTGCCAGGAAAAAAAAAAAAGAAAAGAAAAAAAAAAAGAAACGCCAGCTACGCGGTCTACCAAGTTCGCACGAATGTAATAGTTGCGGATAGGACACGAAATAGGAGTGCTTGACACGCTGCGAGCGATCGTACGAGAGCGTATCAATGACTTTTTTGACGATGGTGGGCGTCACACTACGTATGGCTTGACTTTGCTTGGTTAACGCAGAAATATTAACACGCACAAATAAAACAAACGGGAATGTCTGTCGACATTCGATGGTGCAATCGTGTCGAAACATATTCTACGTGTAACATACGTTATATATAATTTCAACTAACGATCATTCAAATAAATAGATTTATACAATTGTATGATTCTGTCCAAACAGAGATCGACGAGTTAATTTCTGAGAGGAGAGTGTCCCGTGTCTTTCGAGCAGTTGTAAGAAAAATCGAAAGAAAGTCTGAGATCAGTCGTATCGGCGACTGTTACTGAGAAAGGGGAAGTGTTAAAGCAATAGAATTGTACAATTAATTTATAAAACCTTTACGATGGTAGTTCCGAATAAGTAATACGTACCTCTTGCACGCAACGCAACGCCATTTCGAACATTTTTCGCCGGGAGTGCGTCAGATTAACCACTTGCGCTGGCAACTGCGGACCATAACGAGTGACCAAACTGTACACAGTAATTTCGCTCGGCTATGATATCGCTGGAATAAAAACCGATTGGGAGGTAATAAATTTATTGTTTGTTTCGCCTGTTTTGTTTCACTTTAAATATACTGCTGAAATAAGCTGAGAAAACATTGCAATTCTGGGGCAAAAGAAGAAATTCTCGACGCGCGTGGCGCGTCATTCCAGCGCAAGAGGTTAAAGGATCGTACGATCGACTGGACAGTCGAGCGAATCAAGGACTCCTCCATTGGGCTAGGTCGTTGAGAAGGAACTCGGGGGTGCCTACTCGAATTGAAGTTTGCCGCGAAAGCGCGGCGAACCACGTCCAGTTTTCCGCGAGAACGAAACATCCAGCGCGCGATTCGACGGTATCTGAGAAAGCGAAACTCGGAAGATCGGAGCACGCTAGGATTTCGAAAAAAAAGTAATGATGAAAAAGCATTTTAATTCGTTGAAGACCATGCGACTGGTTTGGCCAAACATTTTAATTCCTTTGAACCTTGTATTTTTTTTTTTTTTTTTTTTGTTTTTCGTAGCTCCGAATAAGTTGATTGAAAGAAATTGCAAATATAATGTATCAGTCGACGATTAACGACGAGTTAAGCAAACATGTATAAATATTTGATATTTCCAAGCATCGAAATTACGCTCGATCCGTCTCGAAACGAAAACCTCCGAGTTATGGAAAGAATTACTTTTGTCTAGAGAGAGAGAAGGATGCCCCGAACTTCCGGGCGCGAGCGTAGACGTTACAGTTGTTGTCGAGCATTCTGTTTCTTTGGTCCTCGACGTGCTGAAAATTGTTCGTAATCAGTGCCATAATTCTTTTCGTCCGCGTTCGCCTCGTAGAAACACAGATAGTCGTCCATGTTGTGTCTCACTTGGTTATCTCAAATTCCACGCGTATCGCTTGTTTCCTCGGTCTTATCTTTGCTGTTTGTTGTACGTTTACATTTAGATATTGTGTCAAGTGCCAAAAAGCAAACAAACGTAAAAAGAGAGATGAAGAAAAAAAAAAAATCCCGAGGCGAGAGTGCAAGTTCCTCGATATGAAGCGAACGCTTTTTAGACGTCTGATCGTGCGCTTCGTGGCGGATCCTAGATTTTGGCGGTTTGCTTTCCGGACGGAAGGAGGAAAATTGAAAAAAAAAAATAAAAACAGAAGGAGCGAAAAAGAAAGGACGTAGGCTAATTAATAAGAAAGTAAGAAAGAGCTACGATAGAAGGTGAGTGTGTAACCTCGTATGCGGCCGCACTGATTTTGTACATTTGATTTTTCGGATCTTTGAGGGTTAGTGCCTTTTTGAATATCTCCAGCCGTGACGTCGTGTTATCATCTCATCAGCCCGACAGAAGCAACGCAAGAAAGGGAGAGAGAAAGAAAGAGAAAGAATATGTGTGTGTGTGTGTGTGTGTGTGTGAGAGAGAACCATCGATATAAATACGGACTGTACAGGGCATTCATTGCTAAAGAGAACGATGCGTGAACGTACGAGCTTCTTTTCCTTCTTTTTCTTTTGTTATTTTTTTTAATGTCTATGGAAAAGATTCGGTTTAACCTCTTACCTAACGATTTCCTTTCGGATTTCTTTCGATTCTTAGACGATCGCGATGCTCTCTCGAAGCGATCTATTCTGAAATTTCGTAGAATATTATAAATTGTGAACGGTGGAGTGGTAAATTGTAATGTACATTCGGATCTCATTCATTCGATAAGTATTTCGTCTAAAGAAAAAAAAAAAAAGAAACAGAAAAAAATGAGAGCCTTAGTTATTACAATTAGTTAGGATCGCGTGTAATCTGTTAATTTAAACGGATTAAAACTTAAATTTCCAAATTTCGTGGGACTACGATCGTATTTCCTGCTCTCAGATCGAGTGATTACAATTTATTCTGTATTTTTTAACGTTCGGTAATTTCTGCTTGCTTCTTCTTTTTAATATCGCGATGCTCGTGCCACAAAATGTCGATTCGTGGCTCGACGTTTTACGAGGCAAGAGGTTAATCTCGAATGTCGCGCGAGTGAACGAAATCGGAAGACAATTTTTTGGGGGTTCGTTCGAGGGTGAAATCAAATTTCTTTCGGGAGAACTCGCGAGCTCTCGATCGTGTGTTGGATAAGGTCCAGACTGCGCGTCGTTCGAAGAGTAGACGACTTTTGGATCGAAAGGCTTTTCTCTTTCTATCAACTACCGCGTAGCGTAATCCCGTCTAAGGTTAATTGTAAGAGAAACAATAGGCGATACGCGGGAGAAACTAGCCCATCGTATCCAAGCGCAGATAAGACACGAGCTGTGTAACATTTTCTGAGCGAATTTCTTCGCGCGAACTGCCATTCATTGATCATTTCATCGATACTCTTGCACTTTCTTCCAGAGATTAATATATCCGGATGTTTCTCTCTTTTTTTTTTTCTTTTTTTTCTTTTTTGTTAAACAAGCACGAAAGGGAGCAACGTTCAACGAGAACTCGATTCAACGAATCGAACACAGAAGTAACTGATAACCTGATTGAGAACCTTCGTTTCACATCGAACGATCCGACATTGACAGAATCGCTTGAAAGTACGCCGAGGCGATTTCTCACAATCGGGGGATTCGTTGTGACGAAATTTCTAGTACCGAGAGTGATCCGTGGCGATTGTTGAAAGTAAATTTCGACGGTAATATCTTCCGAAAGAAACGGATGGGGGACATTTTCACGTTTTCGCTACGCTTACTGCCACGAATGACAGTAAGACGTAAGACAGCGTTTTTCCTCGATTTTCTTTTTCTTTCTCTTTTCAAGGTTTTAGAATTAATCAGACGGCCAACGCTCGACAATTCGGAATTCAATCTAGCACTGTTCAATCTAGGGTAAATCACTGTTAGAATTTAGCATTGTAATTCTACGCTCGGCGAGATATCCGCATGTCGGGTCGTATTTAAGGCGAGATTCCCTACGAAAGTCTCGAACGAGGCACGTTTTATGTTCTCACGTTGTGATTTTCGATCGCCGCCAGACATAATCGTATGAAAAGAAAACGGTTACACGTTCACGTGCGTGTTCGCGCGACACTTTTCGATCGCGGGCGTAATTAATTATTAACTAACGTTTAACGGCACGCGAAATTATCGCATATGTACGAAGTGGACGGAGGAAGTGGCCTTACATTCGATTCCTTCGATTCGCGTTGCTTCGCTTGCCAGTTTGTCAAAGCATTCGTGGACGACTGTGAACTTGCTCTTTGTAGTTGTACACGTTTTTCGTGATGCTGCGCTGAATGAAAAGAAGAAGAAGAAGAAGAAGAAGAAGAAGAAGAAGAAGAAGAAGAAGAAACGGCTGGATAAAAGTGTTATATTTGAAACAAACAAACTGTGTCGAACACTTGGACTTTCTGGCTCGATCGACGCCGTTAACGAAATTTAGAAAAATTCATTCCTCGTGAATGAAAGCGGAGAGAAACGGACCAGCACCGGGCCATTCACAACGAACGTATTGTGCTCGTTTAAATTGGCTCGTTGAACGTTTGAATAGCACCGATGATGAATTTAATTAAAAGCGATACACATTAACCGGCGCAGCCGTGCATCCAGCTGGCGCGTGTCGTTCTTCGTGCTCGGCCACGTTAGAAAGTTGGAGACGAGAGCAAGAAACACATTTGGTTAACGCATTCGCGATCGGCGACTGTAAAACCAAGACGTTTAACTATTAACGTTCCCTATAATTTCCAAAACTGTCTGTAACAACCGAGCAAGAGGTTCTGCCATTTGTATGAATATTGCGTGAACATTATGTAGAAAATATTACTTCTCGAATTGTACCGGCGCATCGCTGCTTGTGTCACTGTTCTATTCACAATCACAGAAAGCGCACAAAATTATCTCCTTCCATAGTAGGCGTTGCTTCTTTCAAATAACCAACGCGCGAGGAAACTAACGTAACAAAAATTTGAAAACGAAGATACTGATAATTTTGATTAAAAAAGAAAAAAAAAGAAAAAAAAGAAAAGGAACCAACGGGTGACGAATGGTCAATTTCGAACCATGTAATGTTTTATGTAAAACTTGATACTGCTGTATCAATTATATTCAGCGATATTATTGTAGCCTGGAATTTATTGTTCACTTATTTATCGAATGTTCGTATATTTATCAGACGAATGAAAGTTACATTCGGCCATGCGGTGTGATATTATTATAGGTTTACTCCTTTAAATAAACATATTACAAGATTTAACAAGAAACTGTGACAGTAACTGTTTATTTTAATTAATGTGCAACAAGATCTTTATGACGTTGATTCTCAACAACCGAGATTACAATACATATATATATTTCCCGCTATTTGATTTTCTTCGTACTTCATTCAATCGTAATCAACGTCGCCGCTGTTGAACTTGTTTTTTGAAAATACGCGCGCCGCCGCAACGTGTAACTCGCAGAGGCGCCAATTTTGAATTGAAAGCGTTGGACTACGATCGCCAGCTGAAGAATTTGAAATGACACAGGAGCACTATTATCGGCCGCGGATGTGTGTTAATACGTACGTACGATGTCTCGTCTCTCTAATTACGCAGTCTGGACGTGTCGCCTCTGTGTCATAGTAATCTCGCGGTACAAGCAAACCGCGTAAATCGCACAAATTTCAGGCCTAATTCAATGTTTCTCGCGTTGCACAGTTAATCACGGTGTTACGCTCGCCAGACTGCACGCGCGCAACACCGTGAAAAAAAAAGAAAAGAAAAAAAAAGAAAAAAACAGAACAAAACGCAACTGTCTGAACCCGTTTCCTCGCTGCGTGAAAATAAGATTCGCCAGGCTGTTAAACGCGCCCACGCTGTTAACGAGAGGAGAATTAAAAATGGAATTGGTCGCACGAGGAAGTAATTTACATGAAATCGCAGTCGTGTAATGTGATTAACGGCGGGCGAAGAGCCGCGCGCGGGGCGGACTCATTCGCGCGAGAGCGTTAACGAGTTTGCTCGAAATTGCCGAGTTTAATTAATCGGGATAAACACGCACGCGCGACCGGCAATTTATTATCGCTCGAGAAACATTTCCAGCCTAAGGAGTCCGGGGGAGAGGCGGTCACGTTTTAGCGAACGCCGGCCAATTGACCCGCCGCCATTGTTTAACCCTTTGTATCTTAATAACCGTTTCTAACAGCTAGCTCGGGTCAACTAGCCGTCAGACGTTGGAGCGAAGAACTACATCTACTTTTTAATCTGCTCTAGCTAACTCACCGCGGACGCCCCATTTCCTTTATTTTTTTTTTTTTTTCCTCTCTCTCTCTCTTCGCCGAAAAATTGTAGAATCATTTCACGCGCGAACCAATCTCCATCGGTGGATGGAAAAGGAAAAAAAAAAAAAAAAAAAGAAAAAAGAAAACACAGCTTCGAGGTGGTAATTCAGACGTTTATTAATTTACGTTTCGCTCGGATGTTCGATGAACAGGATCGACGGGCAGAGTCGCGCGATTAAAACGGGCTTAACTTTTGAAACGTGAGCTTGGCGCGTACGTGGGAGATATATATGTGCCAGTCTATCGTGGCTTTCAACGTTTGAAACGTCTGGCGCCATCGGAAACATCGGAACGTCCGAGGCGGAGGCAAAGGTTTGAAAAATTACCGCGGGAGTTTCATTAAACGCGTACGTCGCCGCGAGTGAATTAAACTGTTAAACTGTTTCTGACGACTAGGTTTCAGCAGTCTGTCTGTATCTCACGCGCGCTCGGTCAATCGTCCGACTTTTCTCTCTCTCTCTCTCTCGTTTATCACGCGATATTTCGATCGAGAGTCGACGATTCAATAAAACTAAAACTTGCAGGAAGCAGGAAGTTGGGTGATTTTGAGAGCTTGATGCGAGATTTTCAAGACGTTTCTCTAAAAAAACGAAAAAATAAAAGTGATCGTGGAATTTGTTCCCCTCGGAGCAAATTGATTTATATCGACGGCGGATGAATCGTCGACCAGAGGAGTTTCGATCGTCTTGAAAACTTTCAACCAAACATTATTAACAACAGAATTCACAACGAAAAAAAAAGGGGACTTGATCATTTTCTCTGTGAAAATGAAAATTTTCGTGTCGAAGCGTGCGAGATACGTCGTAAATAGCTTTGTAATGTTAACGTAACATTTAGACGAATTGTTCGTTCTTTAATATATATTGTACGAAATTAAGTTATTCGCAACGTTTCCTATTGTACGTTGTATGTTGAATTTTATAGATCCTGTAAAAATAAATTAAATACTACATCTGCGAACTGCAAAACGATCTTTTTGATATGAAATGTGATACAAGAGGTGTTTATTGTTGCACTCTGACCTACAGTTGCGCATCGGAATACATGTAAATCGTTTCTCACGGCAAATGAGATGTTTGGAAGTGTTTCACTCGGAGAATAAAAGAAAAGAAAGAAAAAAAAAAATATATATATATATATATATATCGAACGACATTTAAACAATCATAAACGGCGTTGTTTGTACGACGAAAGTAGTAAAAAGAGAGTTACGAAGAGGAAGCGACCGAAATTGATGTTATAATCTATCTAGCAATTACGATAAATGTGTTAATACAGTAGTTAATATAATAAATTATATAACACTGCCTCAGTATGCAACTGACGTTAAATACGGCCCAACTAACGACTGTACAACAGCTTACTAACAATCCACCATTCATAAGCACCTTTAACCATCTTCGTCGTCCAGGTTTTTGCATCAAGTTTACACCAACACTGGAATCACCAAAAGTGGTCAAAATGATCAATTTATAATTTCTGTCAGACATTCTTTTGTAGAGACGAAACAGCGTATTTTTAAAAATTTAAGCAATTTTTCGTAAAGTATATGAATAGAAGCTTGTACGCCATTGTTACAAAGTTTCTCTAATTTTTGGATCTTCAATGTCTCTGATAGATGGAAATTTTTACACTTTAATCAATAATTACGCGTCGGTAGTTCTAGCGTGAAATTCATTAAAGTACTTTTAATCCGTCTAATTGTCTCAGAATCAGCTGAAACTGTGAAACGTTTTGTGGCCAATTAATAACTCAAAAAAAAAAAAAAAAAAAAAAGGAGCAACAAGAAATGTGAAAAGCATTAAAAATATTTTTAAATATTTACCGAGAATTCGGACGTTTGTGCGATTAACTGGGAAACTGGGGAAAGAACCTAGGTGGAAAATCATTTTATCAGCGAAATACTACTCTTGAGCTACTTTTTTCGCGTGGATTTCCCCGCGAACGCGTAAAAGATCGAATAATCTAATTGTCGGGGACTATTTCCTCGCCCACCGTCGGTATTTCCAGTCTCTCGAAAGTGAAGTTCGTCTCGCGACGAGTTAGTATCTCGTCGATCCGCTTAGAACCGGACAGAGAGAAAAGCAATTTCTTCCCGATTTCACGTACGAAACGGACGAACTCGTCGCAAGTTTCTCGCGCAATTCTGCCAGTCACATTTTCCACGCTTAGGGACAGATAAAACCGCGAAACGAACGCGCAGTCTGGACGCTCTCCGAGGATTACGACGGCGAGCGAAGCAGAAGCAAGGAGGAAGAGGGAAAAGAAGATGTACATGAATGAGTAAAAGTGAGAACGAAGCCGAAGGGAGCCTGTACATAATAGTGAATGCGTGCTGTATTTATATATTATATACACGTAATATACATGCTATAAATATATATATACATATACATAGAAATATATACATACACGTAAATATAACATTAATATCGTCGACCTAACAGCAAACGGTGGAAAAAAGTAACGCGTTTTCATTCAGGTAACCAGTTAAACTGTAATTGTTAAACACACGTTAAAATTTTTGTCTGCGAATGATCATACCGTGAACAAGCTCGGAAACAGAGTAAAACAGTTCTCCTGGCTCTTGGAACTTCGATCTGCTGAGGCACCTGTCGAACGACGTAATGAGACTGCATTTGTCGAAACGAGATTTCAACGTGTTACGCGGCGGTTCGTGTAGATTCTCTTTGAGAAAAAATGATGAAAGGGAACGCGAGGCTGCAAGTGAACATTAGAAATTACAAATTACTTGAACTATCCATCTGTCTGGCAATGAGGGAGAATTGTAAAAGTGCAGGCTATAATATTATTAATTGGTAAATTATCGCTTTAATTAACATGAAATTATTGTGGAAACTTCACCGAGAGTTCGATAAATATTACATACACAATAATGGCCAGTGATTTTTCAGTAATTGGCTTTTTCATGTTGCAACAAATAATTAAATATACATCCTTGTTAAAATATATTCAACACTTTTACTTTCAAGAGTCCTGGGACAGATCTTATTTATAAATTTTTATAATATTTAATACTTTCAATATTAAATATTCAATATTCAATATAAATAATATAAATAATTAATATTTATCGTAGGTTTAATAATAAAATCATTGACTCACGTGTCTATTTTACACCGCAATTGTTAATACATTAATACTTTATATTTTTAAATTCTTTTCAATCTTATGTACAAGTATTTGTCCCAGGAATGTTAAGCGGGAAGTAACTCGCACTTCGAAATTCAGCTTCGATCAAAATGCAGCTTACTGTCGTGTCCCTCGAACCAATGATCTGGCATTGGCACAAAAAAATTACAAGCAACGTGGAAACGAAGACGACTCTCCACTCTCGATTTTAAAAACACGTTCGTTCGCTGGATCGTGCCAATCGTTTTCAAAATGGAACTCGAAACTCGCTTCGTAATCGCGACAGTCGCGGTTGAAAACTCCCGATTTTGCGGCTCGAAACGAAAAAGAAGGAAAAAAAAAAAAAAAAGAAATCGACAGAAACGTTTTTCTCCTTTTTTTTTTTTTTTCGCCATTTCGAACGATTTGCCTCGCTTGTTTTCGCCCCGCGGCACGACTAATCCGCTTCGCGGCAAGTTCATCACGCTGCGATCCGGACTTCGAGCGACGATGTGAAAGGAAATTCGACGGAGAAGAGGAAATCGCGGTTGAAATGGTCAACGATCGAGTGACGAACAACGGCGTTATCGGTGAGTTCGATGAAACCGAGTGTTTCGTTGCACGTTTCAAGTCGCGTTTGCATACGTAGGAATGGACAATAATGATGCAAAGTCGAGGACTGGGTCACTCCACTACGTAGATTGAATTCGATTTCGATTCGAAGGGGATTTTCGAAGATTTTTGTTAAATTCACTGCTCTTCGCTTCTTCTCCTTTCGCTCACCCTTTCTTTTTTTTTTTTTTTATCGGACATTTGCATTTAAATCTCGATGAAAACTGAAAACGTTGTGTATAAATACGTCTAGTAACATAATGGTACACTCGTAGTGAAAGTTTAGTTATAATGTACTCACGTGTCAATGATCAATTCGATTTCGTAAAAAAAGAAACTTCGATTCTTTGCTAAGAGAAACTGGGAGCTGTCGATCAGCAAGACTAATTACGTGGCATTTAATTTGTCTTCTCGTTCCTTAAGCCTCTCATTATCGTAGCTACAACATATAAACAAAATTATTCAAGCTCTACTTCCATTATGTGTTCGTTCTTTTCCAAGAAAGCAAAAAGAATACTGCAAGATCTATAGTATTGTTCGATGTATTGCAATTTTTGTATAGAAAATGTGTCTGTACACATGAATTTGTTGCACGACTATGTCTGCAATGATATTGTTGGAAAATTATTAAGTATTTAACCAAATTACGAAGTTGTAAATGTTGCAATAATCTGTTTTTACAGAGAATATCGATTTTTCATTCATCGTTTGTCACATTGATTTTATTGTGTTATGACCAATTTCTGGCTAACTCAGGATTGTCGATAATTATGTCGAAATCCCCAAAATTGGCCACTATTATTCTATAATTCTTACACCTACTTAAAAAAAAAAAATGTAAATATTTTGCACGTACAAAACAGGCATATTCGCAAAGGAAAATAAAAAAAGAAGAATGCCTGACTAATATTATTTAAAAGGTTGGAAAGTTCGACAAGAGTTATCTTTATCAAAAAATTTAGCCCTTCGACAGACAATTGTCTACGAAGTTTGACAATCTGTGACAAATAATATCTAGAAATTATGTTGAGAATTAAATTGCGAGATTCAGCTAGCGCTTAACTTAATGCACTATCAAATTTAATATAACATTGTCAGTTTGAATACACGAAAGCTGTAACAACGTTTTACATTCGTAACATTCGTAAAATCAAATCTAACTCTGCAATTAGCAGCTAGTTGTAATCGTATCGTAATGGTATTTCGGTTCGAGGACGTAGAAGAAGAATCTATGGTCACGTGATCGAAGATAAAGAAATTAGCGATCGTCCGTGCAATAAGTGATCGCGTATTTTTGCGATGTAATAAAATACAATAAATGGTACGCGTTTGCTTTTTACGTTTGCCATTTCGTAACTAGCGGCAAAGCCGCGGTTCTTCGCGCGATTACGCGTATCGTTACACGTATATCCTGTTCGATATACTTGTTTATTCTACTATCTTTCTTTGCTTCTCAGCTTGTTGAAGATAAACGCCGCGACATATCATTTGCAATGTTCTTTTCCATTTGGTTCATTCGCGCTATTACTGTGGCCATAAAAAGAGGTTCCAAGAATTCCTTTAACATTTCACTGTCGTCAAAGTGTGTTTAAATTACGACAAACTACTGGTCGTACTTTTCGTTAATAGTTGGTCGAATTTTTCTAACCACGATTGCAATCACGGTCGTATCAATTGAAACCAACAAATCGAGCGTTATCCCTTTCTTTCTCTCTCTCTCTCTTTCTCGTTACACGTACTCGTGAACGAGAGTTACTCGCTAACGAAACATTTCACGAAACGAAGATAAATGGTGGGTCGAAAACTGTTGAACGTTGCCAAGATAAACGCGGCTATCCAAAGCTATCGGGAACGTAAAAAAAAAAAAAAAAAAAAAAAAGGAAAAAAAAAAAAAAAAGGGAAAAAAAAAGAAAAAAGCCACAGGAGAAAGAGCAAGTACGCGTTTGGCGAAACAAATTATTCAACAACGATCGATCGGAACAGTGGCCATTTTTCCACGGTATAATTACGAGTGAAATGACTAACGGCAGCTGGTGGAAAAAGAAAGAGAGAGAAAGAGAGAACGGACACAAAATTGGGGTGGCATTGAAACCCCATAGTTCCATTCTGACGGCGCAAACAAAAATCTGTTAGAGTTCCGACGAAACGGACAATTTTGCTGGTTGAATGGCGGCCGATTGACGTGCATCGGCGCGTCGCTGTGTGATCAGAACCGCAGCAACCAACGATACATCTTGCAACAGCGATCGTGTTAACCCGTGGCAAACATCATACGCTTGCATAGCGTCGGAACGAGCGCGCCAGCCGGCCAATATATATTTGCAAATTGTCGTTCGTAGGAGAGGCGCGTGAAAACGGCCCGAAAATTATCGATCGCCAGCTAGCCCGCATCCGTTTTCAATTTGCCGCGTTGACCGCGATAAATAACCAAACGAAACGAAGGATGATACGTCACGCTGGTTCCTTCTGAAACTATACTCGCCATTATGCAAACGAATCCAATTACGTTCCAGCGAGAACGAAATCACTTGGTGTGTTGTTCGTTTTCTGTAAATGCCGATAGATCTGCGGAAAGATTTTCAGCTCTATTGTCGAGGGATAAATAAAATCTATTCGTGCGTGCAACACATTTTTCGGGTTCACGATAAATGTATTCAATATCTGACTTGTAAATTAAAATTTAGTTTGAATAAACGAAGGTCTATCGTACCATTAATGGCCAAAAAAGTTTGACGAGTTTCTCATCGTTCGAAAGAACAAGATTAAACAGAAAAGTATATATGAAATATATGAAATATATAAAAGACTATGTTTAACTCAAATCAAGGCCGTTTGCGTTTCCAACGTCTACGTTTCCATTGTGTAAAATTGAATTGGAAACAGGAATAAAAAAGAAATACGAAGTTATAATTTCGCGAGACGTGTTTGAACGATGGAATGGACGGACAGTGGGAATTCTTACAATTTCTTTGATACCTATGCGAGCGAGATGTTAATTTCCCAACAAATCGCTGCTGTCGCGACATGTTGATTGTTGGTTGCTTAAAAAGGTCGTGGCTTAAAAATTCCTCGAACGATGTTTGCGCGCCAATGGGGAACTCTGTTGAATGTAATTACGAGATCAATCGTTTCGATTGAACGTTGGCGGCTGTCCTCGAAATGGTCCATTGGCTGATCGTGGAAAAAAAAAAAAAAAGAAAAGAAAAGAAAACGATTACGCGGTATTGAACAGTACGGCATGATTCTCCATCTTTATTCATACACTATCGTCGTTCCTCCTCTTATCCGTGTTCGAGGAACATTGAGACACCAGATTCGTTATCAATCGCTTTCAATGCTGGTCCTCTGCGTTGTTTCACTATTTCCATTTATCATCTCCGTGTGTCGGAAATTGCAAGAATTGGCAGTATCTGCGCTCAGTCCTGCTAAACAACGAACACTGCTAGCGGAATTATATCGAATTACAGCGAGCTTAATAAACACGTGTAACTCGTTAGACGTATTTCACTCGTCTGTGGCGCAGTGATTGGAATTACATATGATCGGTCGGTGAAATTTAATATCGCGTAATTGCAATACGACATCTCGCTGTCGAAAGAAAAAGTTGAAAGGGTCGATTCGTAACTATTTTTTCATTGATTGTAGAATCGTGCAATTTTGTATGTGGAATTTGCCTTTGTGGTGCAGCAGCAAGGACAAATTGAGAGAGCGCGAAACGTGGTACAGATTCTTTTTAGTTAGGGTTCTCGATCGAATGAACCCGGGGGAGAGCGGAACTCGCGTTCTCGTGCGGTTAACAACCGCAGAATTTAAATGGGCGCGCGGGTGCAAGTTTCCTCGTCTTCTATTTCCGCAATCGGGATGCTAAATTTATCGCGCGAGCATCTGTCGCGGTCGTCCCGTTGAAATTCACCGTCGAACTGATCTTTCTGTCGCGTCGCGCGTGTCGCTATGCATGATTTTTAGAAAGTGAAACGTAATTGTATAATTTTGCACTTCTAGGCTGGACTCGGTGTTTCCTCGAATCGAGTGACTGTGATCATTTCAGCATACATTAAACGAAAGCTAAACGGTGTCTTGTTGGGTAAAATAAAATTTGTTAAGATTGTTATTTAGTAATGAAAATTTAATTTCTACATACGTATAAATTTATCGTTTCCAATTGTAGATGAAAAGTTGAAAGCAATTTACGAAATGAGATACGAGATATCTCCTTTGGACGATGAAAACGTTCATTTTAAAAAATATTATTAAATACTGCATAATATTTGTTATCTTCTTCAGTTACGATACAATTCATCGGCCACGTTTGGTAGCTTAATGGCCAACAGAGGGAGGAAATTTATTGCATTCGTAAGAAATTACTACCATTTCTTGCAAAGATTTAACGCGCACTTCTTGCGCGAATAGGTCAACGATTGTCCTTCTATAGTTTTCAAGGCGAACGGATATAAATGTTACTTCTGCCTCTTGAAATAGAATCACGCTCGCAGGTACGTTTTAATTATAGTTTGCAATTTTATCCAGCTGCGATATACTGCCAATTCTTCGACCGAGTAATCGACGAAATCTCCGATCCGTGCGGCCACTGTCGAAGATTTCGCAAAATTTCCACTCCGCGGAAACACACGACTACGACTGAATAATTGAACGATATATATACATAATGATCGCAAACACGTAACTTTGCACATGTGCATATATAAACGACAACTTTATTCCACCATACGTTTCGGTGTATACTGAAGTTGATAAGTATTTAACATTTCCACTTTATTTATTGTTGCGTCTACGTTTAATATGTGATATGTTATATCATCGCTTGTTGCCAGCTTAATATTAATAATATCGTTATTATCACTACGTTATTATCCAGGATATATATCGTCATGCTCTTAGGTATGATCGATGATCGAATTTCCTGCGCAGGACACAGCGTCGGCACAGCGTGACCAGTGACATAAACGAATGTAGCGCATTGCGTTATCGTTTCTGTCGCGCATTGTATATCTTTCCTGCTATTCAGAACACGTAATTCAATTTGAAACCGTGGTAATCGCGTTTGCGGGTTGATTAACAGATCCCTAGCCATTAATCGCGCGAGCGGTAATTACATTAGATACCGATACCCTCGAAGGCCTTCTCTGTGTTCAGGCACTATAGTAATCGTCGTGAATTCGTCGAGCCTTCAATTTTAATGGCGTTCCGTTAGAAGCGTTTATGGCGTTGGGGAACCATCTTCGACGATATTTGACGAACGGATCGAAATCAGGTTGATTCACGGTTGATTCGACGGAGAGACGGGGGCACATACACAGTGCATTACATACAACGTGTATCACGTATATAAGATACGGTATATTAACACACGATGTGTGTCGAGTTGTTCTCCACGTTTCGATTTCTATTTAACCGACGCCGTGCATCTCGTCGGTTTTTGTTATACTTTTCCTAATTGCGACTATCTTCGTCCAGCGAAGAGAAGAAAAGAAAAGAAAGAAGAGAGAAAGCATTGGAACAGGGGCGGAAAAAAAAGGTGATTGTCTCGTAGTCTTATAAATCATTGGATACCGTAATGGCGAATTTGCGAAGAGACAATTGAATTCTCGAAAGTGTAAGTAGAAAAGAGTGAGAGTAAGCTCGTATGATGTATGCAGAGCGCAAGTGTATGATGTGCCACGTATTTAAATACAGCCGATGATCAAGCAAGCAATGAATATAAATGCAAATATAAATATTATATATATATATATATTATTATAAATGTTACAAGAGATTAAGCAAATTATGAATTATTATCAGTTAACACGTCGTGCCGGTGCGCTCATTCGACGATTCGAGCGATAATGTAAAAAAACTGTTTACGAGTGAATGGCGAATAAAATATACGATAACGAACAATTTTTTTTTTTTTTAATACTACCTACTACCCAACGACTGTACTACGATAATCGACAATCATTTTCTGCCAATTTTGATTCATCTGGAAAATTGTGAAAGATACAGTGGCATCAAACAGGAAAACCATTCGTCAAAAAGAAATTGTAAACGATCTCTTTCGCCAAAATGACTGATTAAACAACTGCATTAATCTTTTAGAGACTGGCATCTATCCAAAAGAGCCGGCACTTTTTTCGTTATAATTTCGTTTTGTGACCTAATGATGCGTCATTGATCATTTTGCCTAGGTCTGACGCATCGGATATTGTATATATCTCTTTACAAATTACTGCATTATTAGACTTTAAAAATAGAGATTGTAAGAAACAAAAATTATATATGTATATTGTATCGTATATTGCAACTGATTGCATCTGGTTGCAGAAAAATTAGTCAATCAGATACATACGTGTATCTGCTTGTTCTGATCTTTATTTTCTCTATCCTTTTTTTTATTCTCATTGATCGAATATTTACAAATATACAAGTTTAACTAGCAAAGAATTAAAAATAAATACAAAAATTAATGATGCTAAGTAAATAGTTACGGTACTTGAGATCGATCTCTGCTCTAATTTGAAAGGATCATCATAAGACACAATGTTTCTTTCGTTCGTCAGTATTCTGAATTTATTCAAAAGGGTAGGAATAAAGACATTCGAACTTTACATTAACACCTGTATGCTTTGTATTTATATTAACGTAACAATTGTTTAGTACGTATGATTATAGAGTCTTGTTTGCACGGTAAGAACGTAAGAAAAGTAATAGTACGAACAATCAATGGCTACAACAAGTTGTTGTGTGAATGACGAATACATATATGTATACGACAATGTGTGTAAAACCAATGAGTATGGTTTTCAATAACCATGGAATATCGACAAGTGAGAGTGCACCGAAGAATGTGAACATTAGAAATGTTATTATATCTGGTGCGAAACAATTAACATTCAGTTTTCAGTGCTTTCGTTATATCCGACTACAGGTATGAAAAACGTTTCACGAGAGCTTTAAATACTTCAGTGTTCGCTCGTGTTACACGCCTGATAAACATTCACGGAACGGATTTCTGACTTCTCGTGCTTTATATGCATGCGTTTGTCACGATTTACAACTTCCGGCTTGCGATTCTCACTGACCTAACGTCGAAAAAAATCAATCTAATTTTATTAAACAATATAAAATACAATTATGTAACATCTCGTATAGTAATTTAAAAGAAGAAAACAAACAAACAAAAAAAAAAAAAAAAAAAAGAAACGTGTTGACAACTTCCTACGTTGCAATAAATATGATTCATGCAGTGGCGGTGTCCTTGGAGACCAGGAACATCTCCACAAGTTTAATCAAATTCTCGATCCCTTCCAAATAATTTAGATCCAGAGTGTTTTGATCCTCCGCCGGGAAGACGTGCGTGAAGTCGATCATGTTAATTCTAACCCAGTTCTGCTTCTCCTCCGTCGAACTGGTAAGTTCGTTCAACAAATCATCGTAATCCTCCTTCATTCTTATAATGTCGTCGTCAAAGTTATTGACGTACGAATGCGTACGACATAGCCGATCCACTCTAAAGTCCGAGCTACACGATCCGCTTCTGTTCAATGTCTTTCCCTTGCTCGACGATTCACACTCGCCGCTCAAGCTGATGCTTCTCTTAACAAAATGCACCCTTTTCGCCGTTCGGTTCCTGTTCGTTTTGACGTCGTTCGTGATTGAATTACTCGTCGCGTCCTTCATGTTTTTGAACACATTCGACGTGGTCGCATGATTATTTGTGGAGGAAAATGACGTGGACACGTGGCTAGGTGATTTATTGACGTTCGTATTATTTAGGCGGAGATAATGCCGCAATCGTTTCGCATCGTATGCCACCAACAGGGAACTAGAATAAAAGCGGAACAACCGCTGGATACGAAAGAATAGTAAGATCTTCCACAAGAAAGAGAGCAGCATCACAATCAATTGACGACAGGGCGGTCTTTCTGGACTTATATTCAGGAAGATTTTCAGCGCTGCGTAGGAAAGAAAAGGCACTATTTGGAATAGTTTGAATAAAAAAGAGAGTGAAGTTGTTTAAAGTGTTCTGGAAATGGCTTCCAGCGCTTTCGTTACAATCGTTCCTCATATGATCCAATAGTGATATGTATACCACTTATACAACTATACGTACGTGACTAATGAAACATTAAAAAAACATTTGAATTATAACGCTAGCGATATTGTCTCGTAAATTCATAATACGTGTGTATAATGCCCTATAAAATAATTGAAGTTAATGATAATACCTTCCACGACACCCTTAGCATCAAGAGTCTTGCCGTAATGTTTGCCAAACTGTTTTAATTTCCCGGAAGAGACGCAATATACTTGAAAGCCGGTTATGCAGAATCCATAAGTGCGTTTAGATTCGGCGTACTTTAATTCTTCTGTTGCCTTTTTCTCTGGCGTGGCTAAAGGATCCCACGTTCGTCTACCTATTTTTATATCCATCACGCACGGTTCCGCCATACCATCGGTAATATCTTTCAGCGTAAGGAATGTTACTCCTAATATTTTACGAAAACGATTAATCATGTTGTGTTAAACTAGACGAAACCGAGATTTTTCAGCAATTAAGTATGTAGGTAATCTTGGGATAAACTCTTTAATAATTATTAATACATGCATGATAAATTAACAACGTACTAATCGAATTTATATCATTTATAACTACAATCCATTTAATTTACGCCTTATTCGTTCAAAGGGTCTGTTTATTTTCTTTACTGTTAAAGATAAAAAAAAAATTATTCGGAAAAGACATCCAATAACTTGTTACTGTTGACTTTTTTAAAATAAAAACTTTTTTCTCAAGTGAAACACACTAACTAGTGAAAATCACTAACATTTTACAAGTGTAATGAATACGTATTTTTATTCTCTCGTAAAATATTAGTGATATTAAGCGTAGATAATAAAAAAAAAAAAGGAAAAAGAAAGACAGGAGAACATTTGAAAAATCTTATCAAATTTGCATTGTGAAATTATTCGATTTCTTTCTCGATTATTTATCTTTAACTGCGAAAAAAATAATTACATATTTTGTTTTTCTAAAAAAAACTATATTGCATAATATCGTTTATTTTATATTAATTTACTCGAAATGACTTTCAAATATACAATTGTAATGGTAAAATATATACAAAAAACAGAATCAAGGGAATGAGATAAGATGTATGAGACAAGTTAAGAATTCGATACTTTTGATATCTTACGTCTGCCAAAAATCTTTAACTCTGTTGTGCCGTAATATCGTGGAACATAGTTCTTCAATTGTAACATAACAGGGTCTTGAGATATTTGCAAATTTTCGTAGAACGAGATTTCCCTTTTCCCAAGTAATGGTTTAACAACGGGTTTAAATACACGGCCGTCCGACATCCTACGTAACATGCCTACAACATTTATTTATTAATCTTTTTATATAACATTGATCGTTACACGATAGAAATTGTACAATTGGTGCTTTTTCTTCCACGAATAAAAATAAACGAAGTAAATATAGAGTCACGTGTATAGCGACGTTTATTAAAAATTAAAAAAACGGAATGGAAGATTTTTCATCTGTCGCGCAAAACGAGTGCAAAAGTTTTTCCTCGGAACTGTAAGAACCGACGAACGTCTCTTGTTACTACTTTTCTTTATCAAGTAGCTAAACATCGAGACAGTTCGATAAAATTGTTTGATCATCCGCACGTCATCATCCGCGGCGTTTAATTCGATCAGATGCTTACCAATCGTTTGCCGTTCGATGTCTAATGACGGATGTCCGGCTACCCGAGATTCCAATAGGCTTATTCCAACAGGAAGTCCATGGTCGGATGGAATTTCAGCTAACTCTGTGTTGGAAAGCTTATCAAGATGGCATAAAGTTTTATCGGTCTGCGAGTCTAAAGTCGTCATCGTGTTATTTCACTGAATGGTACACAGTAATTACTTCTGCAATTAAAGAGTTGCACGATCTTATCTCCGCTGCAAAATCCACCACCTCAGCCACCAGTAGTTAGTCATCGAAGCTTATTCTAATTATCTTCGGTTGTTTTACTTCCGTCTATAAATACAAATTTCAGTTGATGAGGAAGTCCAACACATCGGTAATTGTATGTACTTATAGATTATAGAAGATTAAGCTAAGTTGCATGATCTTGTAACGTGGTTCTCCTCTAAAAGATCCACTAAATCAAAGTAAAACGTTCTCGCGGCTTTAACTAGACTATTTGGCGATCATTTGCGTTGTATTCTTCGTTGTTCAAATAAAATAAAATTCTTTTCACAGAAATTTGGAACTTTTCTTTTGTGTGTGTGTGTGTGTGTGTGTATTTTTTTTATTGTTATGAATTAAGCGTACAACCTGAAAAAATAAGATCTTAAAAGATATTAATGATTTAACGTAATTAATATCGAGGTGCCTAAGGTAGAGAAAATAAATTATCACAAAAATTACGTGTGTATGTTACATCGTTTAAAAGAATTTCCATGCGTCTTATATTTTTCATTCGGAAAATTGGAAATTCGATCGTGCTACAGTATGTACATATATCGATAGCTTCATTCTTAAAATAGATGTTACCTTCGATTATTCTTTCTCACTCGAATATCCACAATTTAAAATTTTGGATAAACCGTGTCACAGGTAAATTCACATCACACTGAATAATATACAAGGTGCAGTCTCTCAATGATGGTCTTTCAAATGATCGAAAGCCAAAATAAGTCAGAACAAACATTTCGCGCGACACTTAAAACATCGTGTTAAGGTATTCATCTAGATCGGTAGAGGGCAGAATGTGCTTGCGAAAACTGAATGTTCTAAATTCGCGCTTTTACCAACAAATCGTGATATTCGTTCGTCTTTTGTAACTGCAATGTTAGCAAAGACAGTATTTGTATAATTAAATTACACTTGAACAATTGTCTATCTGATTAACTACGTCTACCAGGTATCAACGTGTACATTCGTTCAAGTAATATCGAATTGCGAGGTGATTCGTAATATTTTAGGAATCGACATTCTCAGCGTACGAAAGAATCATAAAATACAACTCATATAAAGCATACGTACATTTATTGGAAATAACAGGAGAAAAATTTATTAGCCACTCTTCTTTTACAATTGTTATATCTATGACATTTTACATGCCTATGTATTATTATAACCTATACAATAACCAGTCCACAACACAGTACAGTATAGCTCGAGTACGTAACACTTTCACGTAGGCAATATCATTCGAATCCGTCCGTGTATTAGGCGGAACAAAGATTCACGACTTTGAACTTCACATAATTACAAACGATTGTACGTCCTACCACTCGACGTTTTTCTACTTTTCTATTGCTGCCTCTTTCGTCACAGTACGAAGTCTTCTAGATTCCGCCAGAGGGCCATTGTTTTTATGAAATGAAAATCGTTCCCGCCTTGACCCCGGGATTTTACGTTCGCCAGTCCATCGACTGGAATCGTACGTTTTGATAGTGTGTTTTACACGTGGTTCCTCATTTCGTTCTTTCCTCACACTACGTCATAACCTAAATAATTTGTTCGAAAGTCGATGTTTACGTAATAATACTATATCGTAGACGATTGCATTATCTGTACTCGATTCAAACGTAAGTAGTAGAGTAAACACAAATCGACACGCAAAATGATAAGTATTATACAGTGTCCTTTTTTTTGTAATGATACTTGAAAATCTATTAATATCTCTGTTAGATATCGTAACAAGTAAATTTCAAAGCAATCAATATCAATAATTCTAAAATAGCAAGTTTTAATTTTTGCGTGTATTCTAAATAATATGCAGTAAAATTTCACAAATATGAAAAAATATTAATTCTTTGTAATTTCATATTAATGAACATAATCGTTTATTAAAACAAGATTCAACATACAAGAAAATTACCAAATGTCAATAGAAAAATATACAATTTTATTGAATATTGTTTTCTTATATACATTAGTCTTATTAGGCTTATGGTAGAAAAAAGAAATGTTTTGTATATAAAACTGAACCATAAATCACATGACAGTTTAAGCTGTCCATTTTAAACATCTTGTGTCAAGATGGGTACCTAAACACTTCATACTGCAGTACCTAGCTCCACAGGGAATACATGTATAATTGCTAGGAAAACCACAAACTGCGCAAAATTGTCGTTCAGGAAACTTAGATGGTGGAGCTTGAGCAGATACATAATTAGGTGAATTTGGATTAATATTGAGATCCTCCTCTACTAACTGAGCAAATGTTTTGCGAAATCTTTGTTTATAATATTCTGCCGATCTGGTCTTTTTCCTCCTGCCACCTCTGTTATCTAAAGTCTCTTGAAACTTTGGAACTTTCTTGCTCATGACTGAAACATTATAATATTTGTGAAATGTTATAAAATATTATGTTGAAAATAGAAAGATAATATTTCAATTGTATAATAAATAGAACTATAAAAGATGTTTATATACCCAAATCAGCATGAGGATCATCGTGAAAATTATCTTGTTCCAAAGCCTCCAATGCTTTCTTTTGCCTGCGTTTACGAGCAGCTTCATCAAGCACTCTCTTTTGATATGCATCTTTTATTCTACCAGATTCTCGTGCGGCCATATTTGATTAATTTACAATAAATGACAATCTTTTATATTATATTCTAATTAATTACAAATAAGATATTCTTTGTTAGTCTTTATATCCCTTTCTCTGCTAGGGGAAATGAAATTTGATCCATAAGATCATCCACTTTTGATTGTAAGATGTCCAAAATATCAGCAGAGATAAATAAATGTCTCTCATCCAGATCTTGAATAATAAACTTTCGTCCTAAAGCAAATGTCTCGTCTAAATGTAAAAGAAATTGCTTCATAGCTGCATCACTATGAACATAATGAATAAGTCTGTAAAATTTCTTGCTTTGTTTCAGCAAGATTAAATAAAATGTCTAAACGAAAAGGAGTTTCTTTTGAAGAAAAACGTATAAGAATGCTTGAACTGTTTTATGAAAAAAGAGAATTTTTTACCTTGAAAGAATTAGAAAAAATTGCACCTAAAGAGAAAGGAATTGTTGCGCAAGCAGTAAAAGATGTACTGCAAACGCTAGTAGATGATGGATTAGTAAGGTCAGAAAAAATTGGCACTTCTGTATATTTCTGGACTTTTCCAGGGTAGGAATAAAATACATACTTTTGTTTTACTCAAAAAAATATATACTACATTAAAAGAATTAATAAATAAATAAATATTACACAGAGAAAATATTACTGCAGTAGAACAAAGAATATCTGAAGCATCAAAAAAGATAGTAGAAGCAGAATTTAAACTTCAAAAATTGAAAGAAGTTTGTGAAAAAGAAAAGGTAACAAAAAGAATTTTATAACGAATTAATTAATATAACATTCAAGGTTATGTTTTTGCTATATATTGTTGTTAAAATGAAATGTACAGATAGGAAGAGAAGATACAGAGGAAAGACAAATTTTGTTACATGAACTGGAAGAATTAAAAGTCAAAGAAGATCAGTTAAAACAACAAATTGCTAAATTTAGTGACGCTGATCCAGAAGTTATAGCCAAGATTGCTGAAAAAGCACAGGTATAAAATTTTGAAAGCATTTAAATCTACATTAATTATAAACTTTCTATTTTTTTTTTCTTTTAGAAATATAAAGAAGCTACAAATATATGGACGGATAATATTTTTGCTATTCAAAGTTGGTGTAAAAATAAATTTGACATATCTGAAGAATGTCTCAATAAACAGTTCAATATTCCTGATGATCTAGATTACAAAGAATAAAAACATAAATTTTCAAAAACTAAGATTTTTGTTTTCTGTACATACCATTCAACTAAAATTCCTTTTGTAACATTTACCATGACTTTTTCTCTTTTGTTTTTTTCAAAAGTGATCAAACATCTAGATCTTTCATAATTACTTTGGCAGACATGTGTAAAGGTCATTGAATATATTCACTAGATAAGAAAACTACACACAAACTTAGAATTGAATCTAGTATGTAACACAATTGCCAATAGAAGGTTAGTAACAAAATTTTATATAACCGGTTTATTTATAAATTACAGACATTTTTACAAATTATAAATATATATATATATACATATATAAAAAGAACAAGATTATTATGAACTATATTATAATACTACTTTGTTCTGTATAATTCGATAAAATTGTAATATTATATAAGACAATACGTTTTCTTTTATTCATTATCAAATACAATAATATGTTATTCATAAATATTTAAAATTTATTATTTATTTCTGTTCATTCAGTCAAAAAGTAGGAATTACTTCAGTCAGATTTAAATTTCGCACAAAATATTTTACCAATCGTAGAAAGAGTTTCAATAATATTTGACTTAAACGCCCTCTGGTAGAATATTTTGAATGTCCCTGAACTGTTGCATCAGCCATTAAAATACCCTGAACTCAAGCCCAGAGGAAATCAGTGGTCGATCGAAGCATCTATTCACGGTCAGACTACAGAGGTCTGTGAAAATTTTACTCGCGCGAGTGTTAGTAATTTAAAGTAAGTTTGATTTTCATTTTTTATCAAAATGTTCGAGTACTGCTCAATGTACTCACTTTTTGTTCTTACTATTATTTTCTGTTTTTGAAATTTTAGAAACAATTCAAGTTGTTAAATTATTTAATCAGGAATTTTAATGTGTATGGCGTTCTTAGCACGTGTAATTCAGTCACAATCCTTGCGAACCCATAACGAATTGTGAACTTCTTCTTATGCTATTTTAATTATCTAAAGTCGCTTTACTCAAAGTACAAAATTAATGTTACGTAACGTAATTATCATTGAGCTGTTGCTTGTTATTACACTTTTGTTTTATTAACAAAAAGGTTTTAAATTTTCTAATAAAATTTAGTTTTTCTTCTTTCAAATTGATATTCACAAGAATATAAAAAATTAGGCCTCATAAATTATATCAGAAGCTCTATTGGAATGTAAGCATGTATGCTATTCTTTCATAAAACATTGACTTTTTGTGCGATCTTTTACAAAACATTGCGTGATATTATGTTAGTGCATTTAGTTAGAAAAAACTAATTTTTTATTTCATAAATTTTTGTGACATTTAACGGTTATGTCGATGTTGATCCATTTACCATCGTAAAACTGCACTAAAATTTGGAGCATTCCAAAGCTAGAATGCAGAATACAATGTTGCGATGCACTTTGTGAGTCATTGAGGTGTCAAATTACAAAATTTTTACCTTGATTAGATTAAGAAGCTGTAGCTTAGATATATATACCTGTAACTTATTTGACCTTTAGACAAATGATACTGTGTCAATGTCATGATGTCATTTTTTTTTAAATCGAATATTCTTACAATCTATATATGATATTATATTATATCATTGTATTATGCCTTTTTAAGTGAATTATTATTCACATTAGAGTATTCAGTTATCACATTCTTTTTAATCGTTTCTTGTGATCAGAGTGGTTTGACACGTGCTGAACGGGACACGTAATACGCTTTGACTTTTGATAAATAATTATCTTTTCAATATAATAAAAACATATTACGTCTTTAATAATTAAATTCTTAATGTCTAGATTATATACAAATTTCTTGTGCAAGAATATTGCGAAACCTAAGTCTTTTATTCACGTGTTTTGTACTTACGTAACAAAAGAGATGCGACACGAAATTATTAAAAAATAGGCACAGTAGATTAACAAAAAAAGTTTCAATATATATGTTATTGATATTTTAAAAACTTATTAATTTTATGCAGATTTGAAAACCATGGGTGTTCCTGCTGGCGATGTAGAGAAAGGAAAGAAGGTAAAAATTAAAATTATAACATTTTATGTTTGGTTTGCTACTGCTTAATTTCGAACATGTTTAAAATTTTCGTTAATTGAAATCTATACCGGAAAACGCATGCATAATCTTAATCTCTCGTGACGTATGGAAACATTGATACTACGTCATTCACATGATTACATGTTACGGTAATTTTGACTTCATTGGTAATATAGATTTACTTTTTATTGTATCAAATAACTATTTCTACTCATGTTTAAACCAAAATTAATAAAAAAATTGTTAAACATTTATTTATACGAAAACAACTTTCTTTTTTTTATTAGCTCTTTGTACAAAAATGTGCACAATGCCATACAATTGAAGCTGGTGGAAAACATAAAGTAGGACCCAATCTCCATGGAATAATGGGCAGGAAAACTGGTCAAGCCCCTGGTTATAGTTACACAGATGCAAATATATCAAAAGGTATACTTTTTTATTTTACAATGTTTTTTGAATATAATACTAAATTTTTTTATATACATATTGCTTTTTTAGCCATCACTTGGTCCAGGGATACTTTATTCGAATATCTTGAAAATCCAAAGAAGTACATTCCTGGTACAAAAATGGTGTTCGCTGGTTTGAAGAAAGCACAAGAACGTGCTGATTTAATTGCGTACATTGAACAAGCATCGAAGTAAGCTTGACAATTATAGAAAATGAAAAAGCACGCTAGACGTGTTTGGCGGGAATAGAGGAAATCTAGTACTAATATCATCTCAAACCTCATGAACGTCCCGCTACATTTCACTCGACTCATTCATCTGGTACTCAAGCATTCACAAAGTCTGAATAGTAAAAAGTTACTGTTGTTCATTATAAGTAGATATGTCCGTACATGTAACTATGTACATTGACAGGAGTTGGATTATCTAGATCCAATTCTGCTTCATAATTAAAGATAATTTGGTGCTCTCTCGCACGGTGGCTGAGCCATACGTAGATTGCGCGCTACTATTTATTTGTAATTATAAACTGTTAAAATTGTTCTATGAACTACTAAGCTGTAATGCAAGAGTATGAAAATACAGATTCAACTATGAATTTGTAATGTTCATTTTTGCTGTATTAATAAAAAACGAAGTATTTCAACGTCAGGGATATTACAAAGTACAAAACGGCAATAAAATGATACAGTAATAATTTGAATCCAAATCTGAGATTAAGCAAATTGTATTTACACGAAGAAAGAGATGGTATCAATAGTAAAATTTTAAGAATTCTATTCAAAACAGATGAATGGAAATAAAATAAATATTAAATAATTGAAAATATTTAATTTTGATATTTATACACTAAAATCCAATTTAAGAGTATTATTGTAGATTAGTTTTTGATAGCAATAAGGAAGGATGCGGTTAAAAACGCCAGGAAATAATATCTTTGTTAAGGCTTTGACCAGTCTTTAAGTAAGAAGCACCGCATTTCGCTTTGATAAGTCACGAAATTGTGTTCTCTCGGATAATTTTGAAGTTAAAATGGAAAATAATTCCGATTCTTGCGAAGAGCAAAAAGTACTGAGTGATACTAATAATCGAGTAATAAAAACCAAAGAAAATTCATTAAGACTCAAATTGGTTCGTGTGTTTAGTTCTTCAGCTCTAAAGAGTCCAAAAAGTCCGTTAAGTGTCTCGAGTTCTCAGTCTTCCACTCCTAGTTGCGATATAAGTCCACGTGTAAAAGCGAGATATTCGTGGCATTTGCCCTTGTGCAAAGAGTATCTTACGTTACGTGCACTAGAAAATGTTGCTTCCCCGGATTCAACAATAAGTAGCAATTCTACAAATTCGCCAACTAGTTCGTCCTCGCCGCGTGTTCCTTATTCAACATGGTATGTCAGCGAAAGGTAAGTTTCTCTATAAATTTACGGATGTAAATAATCACAAATAAACACAATCGAACTGATTTAAATCTTGATATTAAATATAAGCGTAATAAATATTTATAGATTCTCAGCGTGAATATTCATGTGGAAGGACGTGTATGTTTATATATAATTTTGATAAATACGTTTCGCACATCATGATATATAAATGATATATAGGTTCTTCAGTAATATTCAACATTATTTCATTTCTTAATGAAAGAACGTGTTAACACATAATTGCAATAACGTTTTGAAACGTTTTATGAAAGTAGGGGCGCATGTATCGGCAATGTTTTACTGAAATAGCATACGTAAACGCGAACGTTTACATAATTTTAGTATGTCGTTATAGCCTTCGATAAGTTGACAGACGAAGCAATCTATATGAAGCGTAAAAACGGAAAAATAGATGGGTACTTTGAAGGTAGGTTGAAGCGGATACACATTGGTAGCAAGGTGCGGATGGGTCGATGCAGCGCCGGCGCTGCAGAACATAACCAAGAAGACGAACATCCCCACCAATTCTCTTCATCGTCGAAACGATCGCGTCGACGTGTACCCACTTCTCCATCCAGTGTACAAAACAGAGTGAGAAGAAAAGAGTCTCTCTACTTCTCTATCTCTTGTTCTCTTTCCTCCTTGCTTCTCGTCTCTGTCTCTTGTCGCACGAATGCACCTCGTTGTGCTCCGCAGAACATTACACGAAGCGCCTCGAATCAGTGTAGAACGGTTTGCAGCAAAGTAGAGCCGTTTTCGCGTTTACCTCCTCGCGGGGAATTAGGAATTGAATAAAACTCACACAGGTATGTACTAATCGTAATACTAACTGCTGCTTCGATCGTAATCCGTTTATAAGGCTGATTGCTTCTATCGAACACGACATCTCGTAATTACAATTTTTTTGCACATATACCTTTATACTGTTACGTGCAAACATATAGCAATGCCAGTGGCAATTAAATTGCCGCGCTTTTGCGTAGGGATACACGAAGACATTTCCTATGAAATAATCATGCAGGATCGCGCGCGGTAGCGCGAAGCAAACATGGATCATTGAAAACCTTGCTTGGACTCTTCCAAATATACAAGCATTATATAGAAAAAAATCGCGACTTTGACATTTAATTTTTTTTCCCTGGCTTTAAAAATTTTCATTCTCAGATTTTGCTTATTTATTCTTCATTAGACGAGTAGTGTCGTAACCGTTGTTCATAGATTTATTCATCCAAGTGTAACGGTGTCTTTCAAATAATAACGGCGATGAAAACCTATTGTAATTTGAAATTTATGAAATACAATTCACGGTGAAAATGATCTTTTTCATATAGTTTCTATTAGTATTGTTTTAGTTGTTATTAATTGAAATTTCAATATACGTGAATATACATGAGAATATAAGAATAATAGAATGTATTGCACATCTTCAGACTCAGAACTGCTTTACTTATTTAACGCTAAAAACGGTCTATCTTTTTATCTAGTAAATTGTTTCTTTTAGCATCTGTTTGTGTCATCCAAAGAGTTACTTACAGTTATCAAAATTCAAGCAATTTTAGTTTAGAATCTTAACGCAACGTTCGTGAGAACTCTGTGCGATGTTCGGAAAAGTTTGCAATTACAGAGCAAAGCGCATTTTATATTTTCACTCTTTCGAGTGGTTGACGATGGCCTCGAGCAAAGAGCATGATTTAGGGCATACAGTGTTTCCTAAAGTATGTAGGTACACACACGTACACAGTGGAACGAGAAGCACGTACACGCCGATTACACACACACACACGAGTATCCGTGACTATACCTATTTGTAGCCTGCATCATCGGACAAAAAGTAGGTCTAGGGAATCAGCTGACCGAAAGAGGCGCGTGCGCTTCACTAAAAGCAGAACACACGTTTGAAACGCCCACTATACACCTACTCTTGAAATCCCGGAAAAAAAGGAGTCCTCGAAACGCGGTTACTGATAAGCCTACGAAACTTTTCGCTTAATCAATCGCTGATTACACGTAATGCGCATACATTTATAAGTGATATTCCATATTCCATATTTATAGAAATATAGGCCATACAATATTTCATTTACATATAGCAGACTGTATTATACACGATCATAACACGAGGCAACTGTAAAAAGTATCCGACGCTTCTTCTCCTAACATATATAAAAAAGTATGATGATACGAAACACACAATTACATTATATACAATAGATAAAAGTCCCGGTTCGAGAATAGAAACTTTGTTAAAAGTTTTTGTGCCATGTCGAAACGATTGTTTTATCGTATATTCGTACTTTGTTCTCTACTTTTATTCTCTGCTGTCTAGTCGATGTCGTAGAAAAGAGATCTTCACTTTTAACGCGGTCAATGTATCGTTCAACTGTTATATCAGCGCACTTTGCAATCCACGTGTAAATTGATCTCTGACCATGACCGAGTGAGAGTTTAACGCGAGTAACAAACATAGTCAAAGCTGATACGACATTTGCGTGAAAAGCCGTGAAATTTTGAAACTGCATGTTCCTTCAGTTCGCGAACGACTTTATCGTGTAAAGTGTATAGATTTACGATAAGAATGCTTTCGTTTTCGTTGCGCGCGCCTCGTCTGTACAACCGCAACGCTCTCTCCGTTGCGTAAAACGGCTTTCTTAAACAAAAGAGGATTTGCCAGTGAAAGGAATTTCACTGTTAGTCGTGAGAAAAAAAGTAGTGCAGTGACATACGGGAAAATCTCATTACTTAACCATACCACGGTCAGCTTACACTCTGCGATCATAAAATCGTTAGTATAGATTCGAGCTTGGCGAGTTTTGTAATATTTTCGACTAAGATATAGAAGTTCTTTTTTTTTTCATTTATTAATTTCACGTTGCTTTATTAATAACTGAAGGCGTAATTTATTAGACAATCTCGTTTGCATAAATTTATTTTATCGAACTATCACGGAAACAGAGTTGGCGCGCATGAAACGGTAGTTTGTCTTCAGGCAAACGTAGCAAATCTTAGAAATTACAACTAATTGAATTCTGTATCATCGAACGAACTAGAACCACGTTTCACTAGAGGCACGCGAGAGCCGATCAGTTAACATTAAAAGATAGTAAAGGAATGAAAGCAAGCCTCGGATAAATTATAGTAATTAGCACGCGTAGCGTAGCTCTTTCAAGCTGAAACGAGTGAAACCGCTTCCTTGTCGCGGCACTTCCGCCTACGTAGAATTTCTGCATGAAACTCGGATGATTCCCATAGTTACATCATTGTCGTCAAATTAAGAGGGAAAACTGTGCGAAACTGCAATGCTGATTAATTGTTCCAATGATGATACAGTGATGAAGTACTCGCCGCAACAGCAGCAGCAAAAGGAAAGGAAGTCGGAGAGCGACGTTTGCTCGATCGACGCGGCCACACCGAATCGTGCAGCGCGGCGTCACTCGACATCGACGGAGTGCAAAAATCTGTCAAGCTCGTCGGCGAGGAGCGCGATCTGTCGTTCACCGTCGACGGGGATGTTCGCCTGGATGCGTGTGTTCCGGCTCGCCTCGATGCTCCACCAGGTCGGCTGCTAGAGCCGCGTGTACGAAGAGCGAGCGCCTCGCTCGCCGCAACTCATAGATGTATTTAACGAATTAAAAATTTAAAAGAAGGACCGTGTACACGTGTGTATGTGTGTGACGTGTGTGAACGCGCGCAGGAGCGCGCCAGCACCTTGTGCGACCGAAAGGTTTCGCTTGCGTTGTCTGCACGCATGGTCACACGTGTACAGGTGCACCCGGCGACCCTTTCCTCTCGGTCGTGATTTACCTATCCATAGGGTGGTCGGTTCGTAACGTAGGGACGGCCGACGGTAGCTCAACTATAGTGCGTTACGCAATAACAGCCACGTTAACAGCCACGGGCGTCGTACTGGCTACGTTACGCCTTACTTATTCGTAGAGACGAAGTTACAATATACGCGTGTCTTCACAGTATACGCGCATACCGGTAAACGTTTCTGTAAGTGCGTATACACGCGTGTGCATCGTTACACATAGAGCGCAGTCCCGGGTTCCAGTTTAATCAATTGGTCACTTGCCAACCATCAATTAGCGCGTAAGCTTCGAAATCGGAGGTAATTCGTCGCAACACGCCGCTGGTGAATCCATTTCAGACCTATCCCATCTCTTGACGTTTTTTCTTCTCCTCTTCCTCCTCCTTGTTCGGTTCACTTACCTTTGGAGACGGGTTTACATGTGCACGCGTGTACGATTACCTGCCATAGTAAATACGGTTTTTTAGCTTGTACGTGAATAGTGATAAGGATATAACGTGGTGCTATGTTCAAAACATTCCTTCTTCGCCGTCGAAACTATTCTTTCGTTGCTTTCTTCTCACTTGTCTGTTTCTCCCTCTGTTCTTACCCCTTTCGCTC